TATTTGAATGGAAACCACCCGGTTAGAGCCATTATAGATTCTGGAGCCGAATTGTCGGTGATTAATTCAAATAAAATAAAAATAACGATTCTCTTCAACCTAACATAATATTAACCTCTTGTTTCAATGATAAACATTTGGCCAGATTAGTAGAAATTGAAATGCCCATAAATCCCAATACGTCAGGGTTGAAGGTCAGCGCCGCAGTTACAGATCATCTCGACGCCGAATGTTTTATAACGCCCACGATATATGAGCAATTAATAAAACTAGGTCAGCTTTCTTCAAGTGTAAATACTCAAACCGAAACTTCTAAGAGAGAAGATTTCTGTAAGCGTTGTAATTTGAATTTTATTAATGACTTTTGCTCTTGTGAATGTTTTTTTATTTAATATCAACAATGTGTATAGTAATGATGAACTTGATTTATCACAGGTAAATGACTCTTGTATTAGAAATGAACTGTCAGTGTTGATTAATAATTACAAACCAAACAAAATTAAAGATACTAAGTTGACAATGAAAATTATCTTAAAAGATTAAATCCCAGTATGTCAAAGGTCTAGACGTTTATCTTTTTCTGAGAAACAAAAAATAAATGCTCAGATATCAGAATGGTTAAAAACATATAATTAGAGACAGTTGCTCTAATTATTGTTCCCCAATAGTTCTTTGCAAAAAGAAATATAATTGCCTAAGATTATGCATAGATTATCGAAAGTTAAATTCTAAAACAATTAAAGACAGATACTCCTTACCTCTAATTGATGACGTGTTAGAACAATTACAAGGTTCCAAAGTATGTAGCAAAATTGATCTCAAAAACAGGTTTTTCCATATAGACGTGGACAAGGAGTAAAAAGTATACCTCATTTGTAACACCTGATGGGCAGTATAAGTTTAATAAAGTGCCATTGGGGTTGTGTAATAGCCCTAGTGTATTCCAGAGGTACATTAATTATGTGTTTCGTGATCTTCTTAGAGAAAGTGTTGTTATCTTCATGGATGATAATTTTATACCCGCAGAAAGTGAAATAGACGCACTTCACAGGTTAACGAGAGTATTACAAAATGCATCCGAATATGGATTAGAACTTAATTTAAAGAAATGCCAGTTTTTGATGTCTAAAATTAACTTTTTGGGTTATATTATTGAGAACGGTACCATTAAACCCTCTTCCGAAAAAACACTAGCTGTTCAAAATTTTCCTGTACCTAAATTTACTAAACAGGTGCAGAGTTTTCTTGGGTTAACCGGGTATTTTAGGAAGTTTATTCTTAACTATGCTTTAATTGCTAAACCATTAAGTGATTTACTTTGGGGAAACAGTGTATTTTATTTTGGCCCAGAACAACAAACAGCATTTCAAACTTTAAAACAAAAACTTTCTGAAAATCCTGTCACATTTTTTAACAAGGAGCAAAGCTTGAGTTGCATACCGATGTAAGTAAATTTGAGTATGCTGCTATTCTTATTCAGCAATCTGATAACAAATTACACCCAATACACTATATAAGTAAAAAAACGATTCCTCAAGAGGAGAATTATTCAAGTTATGAGCTTGAAGTATTGGCAATAATTGAGGCTTTGAAAAAATTTCAAAATTATTTGTTTGGAAATAAATTTAAACTTGTAACAGACTGTTCAGCTTTCCAAACGACTGAGTAAAAAACAATTAACTCCTAAAATTGCTAGGTGGGCATTATTTTTGGAAGACTTTGACTATGAAATTGTACATCGTCCAGGTAAGCAAATGAAACATGTTGATTCTTTAAATAGATATCCTATTATGCATATTACTTATGACAAATTAACCTCTAAAATTGTTACTAACCAGGTAAATGGTGAATACATTAACTCCATTAAACAACTTTTGGAAAATAAATTAATAGATGATTTTGTGGTAAAAAATAATGTTTTATATAAACTTGAGAATGGTAATTATTTGTTAGTGGTTCCGCAACAAACGCAAACCGGCATTATCAAATCTACACATGCTAATGGTCATTTTAGTATTGGTAAAACTCTTGATGTACTTAAACAAAAGTATTATTTACCAAGTATGAAAAAATGTGTTGAAAATGTTGTAAGTAACTATGTTGAATATATATTAGTAAATAGGAAGGCTGGAAAAAGAGAAGGGTTTTAAAACCAGATTCCAAAAATAATATTCCTTTAGATACTTACCATATTGCATACCTGCCAACTTATAATCTGTTCCATTATGTTTTTTCCCAGTGGTAGTAAAATTGATTTAAAATTTCAATTGTAGGCAAAAAAATAATGTTATATTTTAAAAAGCTTCAGCAGACAACCGTGGACGTGATAGTAGCGCATATTTATGTATATGCTAAATTTTTTTAAGAATAGTGGTGATCAAAGTCATTTAAAAAATAAGTTTAAAATATATATATATATATAATTTACTACCACTTTAAAACTAAAAATAAAATTTTACGCCAAATGCGTAAAAGTTGGCAGGTATAATCGATTTCATTGGTCCCATGCCTTCAACTAATAAAAACTATAAACATCTTTTCACCATAGCAGATACGTTCACCAAGTTTGTTTGGTTCTACCCAACAAAATCTACGTCGAGTCTAGAGGCAATTGATAAGTTAAAAGCTCAACAGATAACTTTTGGGAATCGTTCACGAATAATTACTGACAGAGGTACTGCGTATACTTCATCAGATTTTGAGACTTATTGCCAAGATGAAGGTATCGAACATGTGAAAATAACAACAGGCATTACTCGCGGTAATGGATAAATGAAAATAATGCATAAGATACTCATACCTATACTGGAAAAACTTTCGATAAAAGATCCTGCTAAGTGGTACAAATTTGTTCCAGCAGTACAGCGTACCATTAATTCTACAGTTTCTGGGAGCACTCAGATGACACCTTTAAAACTTTTAACAGGAGTAAAAATTAGAACAAACGAAGACTTAAAAATTGTGCAAATATTGGAGGAAGAGCACATAGAATCCTTTATCCAAGATAGAGAGAACATTCAAAAAGAATATCTTGAAGATCCAAGAAGAGAACCACAGACAGTACAATAAAGGAAGGAAGAAAGCCAATGAATATCGAGTAGGAGACTTAGTTGCAATCCAGAGAACTCAGTTTGGATCTGGTCTCAAATTAAGACCAAAGTTCTTCGGTCCCTATCAAATCACAAAAGTGAAGAAGAAGAATAAATACGAAACTGTTCTGATGGAAAATGAGGACATTTTGTTGTCAGGATCGCCTAACTGTGTGGAGTTTCAGCGCTATAGTGTAATATCTCGGCAGATTGCGTAAGCCGCCATCATGTAATACTTCAAGGAATTGCACCATCCTCTTCGTCATTGAAAGGCGCCAGCGAATCCACATGGGAAAACTCCCGAATTGATAATTAACTCTGAACTTCTTCCATAGAACAATGTAATTTCACATTCGATTTGGCGATACTGCAGGTTAGCAGGTCTCATCAATCGTGTCACTGTTAAACCTATTCCTTTTCTTTCTATTATATGTTAAGTTTGATTGTTAAATTATTGTCGTTATTTCCTCTTTAGCTCCACAAACTCTTACATATATATATATTGCTCTTTAATGTAAATTTCTTTTGGGGACGGGGGTATTTGTACTGTTGAAGTATCTTGTCAGTAATACTTTTATTTTCCTATTTTGCCAATAGGTGGCATCATGAGTATGTTTAAAATATCCTGATTAATCAATAAAAATCTTTTTGTATGCATTTGCTGGCTGGGGTCGCATCCTGCTAGTAAGGAAGCTTCTGAGGTTGGAAGTTGGTATCAGTGGGCACTGGTGGTGGCTGGAGAGTAGTTGACAACGTAATAATGCAAGATCGCTAAGTAAACTAGTGAAGTGTTTTAGGCGAATATATATATAGATTTCATCCCCGGCTGAAAGTGAATTACACCCTTAAAGTATTGACTGATGAGGTGATTTGGTTTGGAAATCTAACGGTCTGAAATGAGAGTTTTGATAAGGGGTAGTTTGAATCACCACGTGGCTGAGTTATGTTGAGACGTGCTGGCCAATGGGGAGGTGAATGTGTGCAAGCCTTTCAGGTGATGTGAACTGAAATTGGTGTGATGGTAACTGTATTAATTTAATCTCACTATGGTGATTATCTGCTATCCATAGTGCTGTGTGGAATGGGGGGACTAGTGAGGTTGCCTTAACAATTGTGTTTTTTCGTTGTAATGTATTTATCTTTCCAGTACCGTAAGGACTTTCCTTTTTTTTAAATTTAATAAACGCTTTTTCTATACCTTAAAAAGTATTCATTTATGTAGTATGTGGTTGGGAAAATTTTACTTTGCAGATATACAGGTAAGATATCCCATGCTGTAAACTGGGGTCATAAATAACAATGTTTTTTTTTATTATTTTATTGGGGGGAAAAACGCAATGCACGAGTTAACACTAACTGGTACATTTGATCAAATCTCCGTTTTTTGCGACTAACATATTTTTTATATATAGGAGTTGGACAAAATAATGGCAACACTTCTATGTTAACCCATTTTTTGATCTTTCTCAAAATATACTTAGATAATTATTTTATAAATTTAGAAGTGTTTGGATTATGCAATTTCTCATACTTCTCAATCGTCATCTTTTGAATTTTACTCTTCTAGTCTAATTCAAAACCAAAAGTTTTGTGTTATTTCTTATAATAGTAGTTGACAATTTTTCTACCCAAATCCTAAAGAATTTATATTTGATATTTTAATTTTTATATTTATGTTATTTGATATTTTAATTTTCCTGCCCAACTTGCTATTTAGGTTATAAGGACAAAAAAGTTTATTACAGTGTTAAAATAACATACAAAGCTAATTTACAAGATTAATTTTATATCAATTTGTTGGAAATTCACTGTTATTTTAAATTTCTAATTATAGATTTATATTCCTTTAAAAATATGGATGGGATTATTTAATGCATTTTTAATGAAAATGTTACTTAATATTTTTTACAGATATTAAAGAGGAAGATTTGGCTGCAAATTCTAATTTGGATGTAGTTTCAATGTACCTTTCTCATGGAAAAGAGAATTGCCCATTATTAAACAAAAAGAGACCTTTTAATGGTTCAGCTACTGTCTTTCCAAGTTCAGATAATGATCAAGAAACTCAATTTCTTGAAAACTGTTGGCCTTATTACTCTCTTAATAGTTTTGATGAAGAAAAGATTTTGCAAAATTTAGGTACGCTGAGAAATTGGCAATTTACTCCACCTAAACTTCCCCCTCGCAGTCGAACTGAATTATTGAATACAAGTTCTTCACCCAATGGTAATTTAGATTCTACTTTAATTGCACCTGATAGCTTTGATTTAAATTTAGAAGCTGATGTAACTCTGTTAGCAGATGAGTTTCCATCTGACAATCTACAAATAGAAGAACCTCTTGTTGAATTGAAAGAAACCTCATTCTGCCAACCACCATTAGGAAGACTATCTTATGAACCACCTCCAGTTCCTCCAAAAGCATCTGCTAGAGGGCCTCCACCACGTCCTCCTAGTCGCCAATTAGTTCATGGTAGTTTTGGTCTTACATCAGATGATGAAGCATCTGGTAATAACTGATAATTTTATTAAAGGTGATAACTCATTACAGAAGAAAAATTGTTACCTTGATTTAAACAGTGAATTTAATATATGATGCTTTATGAAATATTTTATGCATCACTCGCAATTTCTTTGGCGTCATATTAAGTTCTCTGTACCTTAATATTTTTTCAGTCACAAAAATCAATTCTCTAAAGATTGTATGTTTGATTGTGGTATTGGAATTCCTGGGATCATACAGTAAAATTTTGTCGTTGCTCCATTTAAAGGCAAGACAAATGTTTTTGTTTAATTTGCCTTATCTTTTATCAAACTAAACCTCTTCTTGCTTTAATTCATATTCATAATATATTATAAAATATTTTTTCTTCTTATTGGTCATTGAATTAAATATAAAACTAAGATATCTTTCCCGATTCAATTAAAGAATATAATTAAGTTATATCATTTTAAGTTTTTGCTTTATTTTCTCAGACTGATTTTTTTATGAACTGGACTAAAAGCTATCTCATGATTTGAGAGCTTAAGAAATATTAATCTATACAGACAAATTGCTTTTAAAAATTTAGACAATTTTTTTTTAATGATGGTAAAATGTTTGAATGATAAGTATGGGTATCTGCTAGTATTTAAAAAACTATCTTAATAGGTTTTATTAGCAACACAAGAATACTATTCATTGAGGGATCAGTAAGACAAAATGATATGTACTGGAAAATGAAAGATCTGGGAATAATGGATCAAATACTACTGTGTATTATAAAAAGCAAACATACTTGTAATATAAACAGGGTTTTTCCCCTTTTTTAGGGGATTTCCGCTTTTGTCTCCGGAATTTCAGCCTTTTTATCAAAAACTCCGATTCTCTATAAGTTTAAGTTTTTTTTAAAATAAATATTCCGCTTTTTCTGAAAATTCAGCCGTTGAAATAAAATAATTATATTTATTTCAGATTTTCAAAGATAAACAGAGAATTCAAACTACATAGCTGCCACCTTTCCGCATTTTTGAAGTTATACTTCTTATGCGACTTCCAACAAGGTTGCGTGAAACGTTTTCGTTTACGCTACATTTTTATTGGCCGGGAAATCACGTGGTAGGACCCGGTTTTCCCTCATTCATTTCCATATTGTTTTGGTTCTCACTAGCATAAAAATAATGAAAGTCATAAAAGTATTGTTTTTCTATAATATTTTTTTAGTTTGATTTGATACACATATAATTTAATAGGATAGTATTTTTTATTTTCAAATTTAGTGGATAACAATTGTAAAAAATGAGTGAAAACAATCCCACGGACAATACGACGGATTTAAGGTTATGTCAAGGTACGTCTCTTGTGAATATCAATTGATTGTTAGGTTTTCTCTTTTGAAATTACATTATGACGCATTCACATACATTATTAATACAAATACATTTTCCATGGCGAGACGATGAGGCAACCACAAGCACTTCCACTGGTTCAAGAGGTCCACGAAGGAAAAATGCACAATATTACCGTGATTACAGAGCACGGAAGCGAGCGGAGCAGGAAAAAGAGTCGTTGAATAGAACAAGTGATCCTTCTACGACTGCTGATTCTTCTACAATTAACGTCGCAGGTTACGAAGCTTAACTTCTTCCTCGCGGAGGGACTCCACGCACTATTTTTTTTCTTATTTTAGCTATTTTCTCAGCCTTTATGCACAGAAAATAAGATCTTCCGCATTTTTACTTGCCCTCCGGATAGCTCATGTTTTCGTAATTCAGACGTCGCTGCTTCTCTTCTCGAATCTCATTCACGCGATTTTAATGTCAAACATCGATTTTCGTATTAACCTGATTTAAAAGTTGCGCATTGCAATTCATTCGATTTAAGTATTGTACATTGCGATTTTTATTTACGAGGTTTGAAAATCCAATTTCGTGATTTGTATTTACGCGTTTTTAAAATCCTATGTCGTGATTCGTCAACTTAAATTTTTGTTACTCTATGCATTTATGAAAGTACGAAATATTAAATTCATAATCATGACTTTTTATTTAGTATTGTGGTTTTTAATAATGTTTCACGATGAAGATGCCTTTGTGGAGTTTTTATTCTGTATATTATGAAATTTAATATGTTCATAATGTTGTATACATTGTTGACAACAAAAAGATTGATATTTTCATAAATCTGTATACATAACGACTTCCTGTAATGTATTTTGAAAACTGTACATAAAATTTTATATTTTGTACATTAACATACAAAATAATATATATTTTGCATTAAAAGTTGTTATTTTTCTCTATTGTATTTATTTGTCAAACTATTTATTCATTATTTTCAATAAATATATTTTTTGAGCCACTTCTTTTCTGTATTAAATTAGTGACTCATCACATTTCTTATTTAATATTATTTTATTTCTGATGCAATTAAATAATTTTCATCGTAGTTATATAACTATACATTTTCTTTCCGCAGAGTTTAATGTGACATAAGTAGGACCCTATAAATTATGCGGAAATTTTTTAAAAATTATGCGGTGATTTTTAATAATTATGCGGTGTCTTTTAAAAATTATGCATGCAGAAGTTAGTCCAGAAGCTGCGTTTTCTTTCAAACTCTGCCTCTGTTTTGTAAAAATTTGGTCGTAGCAGGATACAGCTCTTTCACAATCTACTGAATTAGGAAGCACTGAGAGCACTTGTCTTGCTCTCTGAGACTACCTCTGAATTCCAGAATCTAATTAAGTCCTGGTTTGAACATTCTTTTACATATTCTTTGTAAGCAGCAAAGTCGAGTTTTATATTTTGACCACTCATTCCTGGAATATTCTTGAATGCATCGTCGTCTTCAATATTGAGGTTGACTGTTCTGGATCGAAAACTCGAGCAGCTTTCATGGAGTTTAATGCAGGTTGACTAAACTTGGGCCCTCGTTTTTTGAATACGTCTAGTTCTGGAGAGCAGGCCCGGACTGGGATCTAAAACCGGCCCGGGCATTTTAGAGATATCGGCCCTCTACTTCACATAAACACCGCGTGCGCGAAGCCTAACGTATCATTTTTAGGTATTTTTTATTTATAAATTCTCATGAATGTAAATTAATTTATCGAAGTAAGAAAGTAGATAAAAATTGCTTAATAATCCTTTATAGAATATATTTCAGTTTAAAATACATGGTTCTTATGAGGAAACATAGGTTGATAAAATCAAAAAGAAGGTGAAAGATGAAGAGTAAATAAAAATATTTATTATACTACCCATGCGTGAATGATTTATCTAAACATTTTTTTTAAAAATAGATTTAATGCTTCTTCAAAAGTCATTAACTTAAAATTTAATTTAATTTTTGAAGAGGCTCACTATTTTCTGCCACTTTATCGATTATGTCGTCGTCTAATTTCATTAATAGATCTTTTTCTATTGCCATTACCATGAGAGCATTCAAATTATCCGGAAATAAAGTACTCCTCATTCGATTTTTAATTACTTTTAATATGGAGAATGATCTACAAGCCACCTGACTTTTTGACAATGTTAGTAAAAGACTAATTAAATTCTAAGAATTGGTCAATAAATTGAATCTCTGTAACATCTTGTAGCAACAAATAACACAATTTTCGCACGCACTGCGTGTCTCACATTTTAGACTTACTTCTTCTTCTGTTTCCAAAGTAAAGTCGTTATTATCTTCATTTAAATGATCTTCTGTGATTATTTTATAATCTTCTAAGTCTGAATTTTTCAGTTTTTCCCAATGTAAAGCTAAATTTCTTAGTTCAATCCGCAAATTTTCACCTATAGCTGTTTCGTCAAATTTTAGCAAGAGTTTGATTCACTCATTTAGTTCGCCAGATTAAAGCTTGTTAAGACGTTTTTCAGGGAAACGTTTCGGATCTAGATAGGAAAAATCGGCGTACAATTTTCCATTCGCCGGAAATCGGCATTCCATTGACGCTACAACTGTGCTGAAAATAATGTTATGGACGCTTATCTTAAATGCAGTCGTTTCATCATCAAAAACTGTTTCACTCGACGCTGTCTCACCCGGCATCAATTTTCTTTTCTTCAATTTTTTTATGGTAACTTTGTTTGAATTTCAGTTTCTTCAAGTTCCTTATTTGTGCGAATAAGGAAATCATCTGTAACTTTTTGTACTCCTTCAAAATCCCTCACTATTTTTTTTTAGTTCTGAACACGTTTGTGATACTATTCCAAAAGCTTTTAAGATGTCTAAACCAGAGGTTTGCAAATATTGGGAGAGCGGTGTAGTTAATTCAAATATTCTTGAGAATATTTTGGCGGTGATTACTGTTTCATATTTGCAAAATGATTCTAAAAATATTTTTGCCTTTGCACGCGGATTTCTGGCTTGAGTTAGTTAGTTATTTAGTGTTTTTGGCGCAAGAGCCAGAAATGGCTATACCGCACCATGAACTTGGTCTAAAAAACGAGTGCTTGGTTTAAATAAAAGGTAAAATTAAATTGAGTTATAAAATCCAATGTTCTTAAGGTACAACAGAAGATTATAGTGTGGCTTATCGCCAATAAGTAAATGTAAAGTAGGATTATTGTGGCCAAAATAGCGTTGTCTTAGAAATTTAAATTTATTGCACTGGATCAGAGCGTGTTTAACAGTTAATGGTTCATTGCAGCTAGAGCAATCTGGTGCAGGTTCACTTAGTAAGAGATGTCTATGTGTAATACGTGTATGACCAATGCGCAAACGATTCAATATAACTTCGTATTTTCTCGGCAAACTTTGTTTCATTACTGGTTCTATATTTGGTATAAGATTGTGTAATTTGTTATTTGTCTCCTCATTCCAACTTTTTTGCCATTCGAACTGTAGTGTAAAATTAATCGCATTTCTAATATCTGAATATGATAATGGTCGAACTGAAAGGTTTTGGGTCAATTTAGCAAATTCGTCAGCCTTTTCATTACCCAGAATGCCACAGTGCCCAGGAATCCACGATAACATCACAGAATAACCCAGGCTTTGTAAATTTTCATAAGTATAAACAACATTAATTATGATTGAATGAGACCTGTGGGAAATATTGTTTAATGCTGCCAGACAACTTTTAGAATCGGTATAAATGTACCATTTTTTGTGTGTTTGGGTAAGGATAAATTGTAGAGCTAATAAGATGGCGTGAGCTTCGCATGTAAAAACTGAACAAGATGGATGCAGTTTTTCAGTGATGATTTCGTTCGGCGTGACCACTGCAGATGCTGTATGACCGTCATTTTTCGAGCCATCAGTGAAAATAGGGTTAAAATCCTGATACTGTTCACGATGTGAATTAAACATTTGTCGGTACATTAAAGTAGATGTTTCTTGTTTTGTCCGATTTTTAAAAATATCAATAGTGTTAAAATACATTACATTCCAAGGTGTTGTTTGTTTAGATGCTGGTAAAATTTCATAATCCTCTACATTTAAAATAGATAAAAGCTTTTTCATCCTGAGTCCAAAAGTCGGAATACAGGATGGTCTATTGTTAAAAAGGATTTCATAATCGGGTGTGAAAACCTTATCAAACATGGGATGATTAGGATGACTCTTTAGATGAAAGTAGTAATTTAATGAAAGCTTAGTTCGTCGGGAGATGAGAGATGGTTCCTGAGTTATTACTTGCAAACTTTTAATGGGTGAAGTGCGAAAAGCACCAGTTGCTATACGCATGCAGCTATTATGAACTGTGTCTAAGTAACGTAAAACGGATTTTCTGGCAGATGAGTAAATCGCAGAACCATAATCTAGTTTCGAGCGGATGATACTTCTGTATATTTTGATCATTGAATTTGTGTCTGCTCCCCATGAACAATTTGATAGAACTTTTAGCAGGTTTAACTTTGTCACACATGTCTTTCTTAAGTACTGGATATGAGGTTTAAATGTCAGTTTTGAGTCTAAAATCAGTCCTAAAAATTTGACTTCATTTGTGACTGGAATAAGCGAATTGTTCAAAAATATTTCAGGATCAGGATGGATACCTCTTTTTCTACAAAAGTGAACGCAAGACGTTTTAGTCGGTGAAAAAGTAAAACCATTTAAATCTGCCCATTTTAAAACCTTATTTATAGCATGTTGAAGTTGGCGCTCTATAGTGCACATATGCGAAGCTCTACACGTGATGCGAAAATCATCCACAAATAGTCTGCCGTCAACTGTTGGTGGTAAGCAAGATAATATTTCATTAATTTTAATAAGGAACAGTGTCACGCTTATGACGCTGCCCTGTGGAACTCCTTCTTCCTGCTCGAAAATATCAGAAGTGACTGGGTCTAGTAAAACTTGAAAAGTTCGGTCTGTTAGAAAATTTTGAATAAAATAAAACATATTACCGGTTATATTGTACATGATGAGATCTTTCAAAATACCGTGCTTCCAAGTGCGATCGTAAGCCTTTTCCATGTCGAAAAAGACAGCTACTAAATGTTGGCGCTTTAAAAAGGCTTCTCGTATTTCTGTTTCAAGTATGAGTATATTATCTATTGTTGAATGACATTTTCTAAAACCACTTTGTCCGCGAGATAAAATGTTACGAGATTCGAGTACATGTACTAATCTATTATTTATGATTCGTTCAAGTAGTTTGCACAGACAACTGGTTAGAGCAATAGGTCGGTAATTGGTTGGGTTTTTTGTGTCCTTGCCGGGTTTGGGAATAGGTATGACATATGATCTTCGCCATGCTGTAGGAAACACTTTTTTTGTCCAGATGTAGTTGAATAGCTGCAATATAGTCTCGAGGTGGGCTTCTGTTAAATGTTTAAACATGCTGTTGTGAATTTTATCAGGTCCGGGAGAAGTATTCTTACATCGATTAATGGCTATTTTTAATTCGGTCATTGTCAATTCTGAATTATAATCGTCAATTGGTAATAGGGATGGTTTCAGAGAATATTTTTCTGCTTGGGACCTGTAGTTTTTAAAAGCTTGAGAGTAGTTATTTCGACTTGAAGCATTCGAAAAACTTTTGGCTAGAGTATTTGTTATTTCTCTTAAATCTGTTATTTTGTTGCTATTTATTTCTAAATGTGGGATAGATAAATTAGAGTAATGTCCAGATATTGCTTTGATCTTTTTCCATATTTCTTTTGAAGGAGTATTAACATTGATTTCACTGACATAAGTTATCCAGGATTTTCTTTGGCTTTGACGACGGGTTCTACGGGCTAGAGAGCGAGCTTGTTTGAATTTAATTAAGTTTTCAACTGTAGGGAATTTGCGAAAATTCCTCCAAGCCTTTTTTTGAGCTTTTCGAGTTTGCAGGCATTCATGATTCCACCAGGGCTTTGGTTGCTTAGGTAATTTTGGAGAAGTATATGGCATAGATTTTTCAGCTGCTGAGATAATTGCATTAGTTACGTATTGTGTTGCATGATCAATATTACTACTATTTATGAGTTCTGAATTTAATACAATAGATGATTGAAATACAGACCAATTGGCAGCAGATATACGTAATTTTGGAATTCGCTGTATATTGTATGAAACTGATAGAGAAATGTTTATTATTAGAGGGAAATGATCACTTTGGTAAAGGTCATCTTCCACTGAAAGCTTTAAAAATGGGAAAATTTGAGGAGAACAGAAGGCTAGGTCTATAGAATGGTAAGTTCTTGAGGGAAAGTGAAAATGGGTTATTTCATTTGTATTGAGTAAGCAAAGTTGAAAATCGTCTATCAGTTTTTCTATTTGAAGACCACGAGAATTAGAAATATTACTTCCCCAAAGTGTATTGTGGCCATTTAAATCACCAATTATTAGATACGGAGTCGGTAGTTGATTTACAAGATTTTCTATGTCAGTCTGTGGAATTGGTTTATTTGGAGGTAAGTATAAACAGCAAACAGTAATTAGAGATTTAATTGTTATTTGGGCAGCAACAGCTTGTAATGATGTACTTAATGGAATAACAGAAAATGGATATTGGTTGGATATGAGAAGTGAAACTCCTCCACATGCTTTATTTCCATGAATAAAATCATTTCTAATGTGAGAATAAAACTTTATAGCTGCTTTATGAGATGTTTTCAAAAAAGTTTCTTGCAAAGCAAAGCATATAGGAGTATGGTTGTCAATTATAGTTTTAATATCTGTCAAATTACTATAAAACCCACGACAATTCCAAGATAAAATTTTATTAATCATTATTTATTAATTTTAGATTTTGCTTTCTTAGGACTAAGGTTAGATGGCGTTACCATCCCCTTTTCAATTATCATTCCAGAAATATTATGCTCATCTGCACAATTCTCGTCAGTGCTCATCGCATCTGATTCTGAACATTGTTCCTGTGTGTTAGAAAGTTTTTTACGATTTTTATTAAATCGATTTTGTCTGCTTTTTGATACGTATTTCGGTTTACTAACTAATGGAGAATGTGTTAACTTTTTATGCAAAACGCTTACTAATTGTGGAGTTAATTTCAAATATTGACTATTTTCAGCATTGTTTTGGGTTTGTGCTAATTGAGTCGAAGTAGACTGTACTGAGCTTTGTGCTTGAGATCGATGAGATATTGAGTTTGGTTTCTGTTGCTTTGCCTGAGCAGATTTCAGATTAGAAGAACTGGGAGCTTTCTTAGGTGATATGGTTTTAAGAGTTTGAGTTTCAGTATCTTTTACATCACATTGAATGCCTATAGATTTAGTAGCTTTTGGGCTTGATACTATTGCCGCATAGGAAACGTTAGGACGAGGCTGTGAGCTTAGGAATTTCGTTTTTGCTTCATAATATGAAAGGTTCTGCATTACTTTAATATTAAGAATTTGTTTCTCTTGCTTCCATTTTGAACAACGACGAGAATTGGCAGAGTGAGGTTCATTGCAGTTTACACATTTTTCTGGAGAAGAGCAGGATTGGTATGTGTGTCCTGTTTGGCCACAACGAGAGCATGTTTCCTTACCCCTACAGTTGTTAGTAGCGTGACCAAACTTTTGACACTTAAAGCAGCGGAGAGGATTAGGTATGTACGGTCGGACTTTACAATTTTTGTAACCGGCTTTTATATCAGTAGGTAAGTCAGGGTTATTAAAAGTCAAGATTAAGTGCTGTGTGGTGAAAATTTCAGTACCTTTTTTTATTGTTATATGACGTGCATCTATCACGCCTTGGCTACTAAGGCCTTCTATTATTTCAGATGTTGGTAATGATTGGAGAGAATTATCGCTAATAACGCCTTTAGATATATTAAGTGTATTATGTGGTGTTACAGTTATATTAACGTTTCCAAGTTGGTGTAATTTTAAGAGTGAAGCAGACTGTTTTTCAGAATTTGTTTCTACTAATAGGTCGCCTGAGGGCATCTGACGCACATTTTTAGGGTTTCCTATGTGTGTTTCCAAAGATTTCTGGACTAGGAATGGTGACATTGAAGACAACTTCTTTTCAGTGGAACTTAGTATAAGAAATTTCGCTTTGGAAAGGTCATAATTTGGGCATTTTGCAAGGATAAAACTAGGTGAGGGGGTTGATGTTCCGCTTTTGTTTCGGTGAGCAGAACTAAACACCTGTTCATTTTCAGCCATAGAAAATTAGACAAACTTCGACTATCAGTGGCACCACCCACCACGGAGTCCAACTTGGGGATGTAAGTAACAAATATGAATGTGCTACCTAAACACCAGTGCTAACCGACAGTTATACGCCCGAAAGTCACCCCTGAAGCAGCCTCCACCCTTAACGAGGTGCCCAGTAAGTGACCCCGGGCTTGACCTTAGTCAACAGATGACGCTTGTGACTAGCCGATTGATACACACAGGCCAATATGTACCTCCTGTTTATCTGAAGCAGGGGCCAAAGCAGAGTGTTGGGGTACCAGGGTGCCCCTCAACTACCAGGATCCCCCTTTCCAGGGACACAGGTCTCCACGCACGGCAAACACGCTGGTGGTTTCTTCCCATCAAGGTCCGATGTAGCACCGAGCCAAGACGAAATACCCACACCAGTAATTTTGGCAACCACAAGGGGGAACATAGATAACAAATAAAGTGCAACAAATTTAATAAATATATATATATATGGAAGCAACAAAAATAAAACAGAATCAATCCGTAATCTGTAAATGATAACCAGTGTTTTATACATAATGAAATAATATTAGCTCACTAGGTCAACATAAATATTTGATGAAAAGTCGGAAACTCAAAACAGGACCGTCGCAAGAGAGAAATTGAAGAATGCTAAGGTCCAGCTCGGGGCCCCGGGTGCGCCATGCCCGTCACACAAGAGCTTGCCCCTGGGGGATTTCTGGCTTGAAGTTTGAATTTTGTTGCATAGTTTCTAAACTTGTAATCAATGTGACATATAACGGCTTAATAGTTTTTTTAGTGTTTGGAAGTATTTAGAAGATACCAGACTTCTGAAGTTGAATCTGAGTTTGAAAATTAACCAAAAATTTTCTTTAATTCTTTAATGCAGAATCTTTGGACCACCAACGTGTTTCTCCAATAGTTGCGAGCCTTTTTTTATTTCCGTGCTCGTTACTTTGTTCCCAGATGTTCATGCGTTGGTGTGATTCACGGAAAAATACTGCGACGCTATTTAGTAGGCTGAAAAACAATGCACTTTCAATTAGTGCCTTCGTGGTATCTCCTAAAACTAAATTTAAGACATATGCATAACACCAAACATGAATTTGACAAGGGGACTCCTTGGAAAGCCATGAAGAAAATCCTTTATATTCACCTTGCATATTTGCAGCCCCGTCAGTTGAATTGCCGATGCACTTTGTTATATCTATATTACAAGACTTTAAAACTGAATCCTCTAAAGAAAACACATTCTGTCCGGTTGAAGATCTACACTACACAACAGCGAGAAGTCTTTCATATACACGATATTTCATATATTTTTTTTAATAGAAACCTATATCTTATTTGGCATCATTGGAGAGAGTTTTTGAAAAGAAATAACTTTTACTTAAAATATTTTTTAATATCTCCTATTATTTTCAAGATAATGGATAAGAAAAAATACATATTAAATAGATTTTGACATATTCACTAAAAAAGTTTTTCTTCGTCCTAATGTCTTTTACCTTCATTAAAACACATTTGTGCTTTTCTTCCCATGTTTTATAAAAATTTAAGCGATTTTGATAATTTAAGTGAATTATTTTTGATAAATTGAAGTAAATAATCAGAATTTTTTAGTATTTATTATCTTGAGAACAGTAAGAGAGATAAAAAAAAATTTCAAGTGAAAGGTAAAAGTTACTTTTTTTCGAAAACCCTCTCAAATGATGCAAAATAAGATATAGGTTTCCATTTAAAAAATCAAAACTCTGATCAAATTTCGGTACTTTTGGCTACTTCCGGGAATTAACAATATCACTATTGAATTCCTTGGGGTCGATTTAGTTATTAGATTTTTTATTTCAAATCGATTATTTGCTCCATTCTTGAAAAAAATGGGTGGCACGTATGATCTGAATCACCCTGTATATTAAAACAATATTATTACTACATATATCATATATGTATTATTTAATATTATTATTATTTGCGCAATATTATTTGAAACTCGTGCAATGTATAATAAAAAAATTTGCGCTGCTGGCTCGGTCCAACCGGCCCTCAGGCCAGACCGGCCCACCGGGCATTTGCCCGGTCTGCCTACTGGCCAGTCCGGGCCTGCTGGAGAGTAGTAAGTATTCAACTTTGCAATTGTTTTGTGAAACACTTCTTGAAGAAATACGTTGCGTGAATCTTTTCGTGAGTATGATGCCTGAGAATTACATCGAAGTTTAGACCGCAGATCAAAAATCTTATTGTAAGCTTTGTGAATAGATACACCACATGTTTCGAAAAAGAGAAGAGTATCCATTAATATCTGAGCGTGTTCTGCAATGAACTGAAANAGAAAGGTCCAACATGTATAGTAGCCAACTATATATAGTAGCAAAAACATGAGGGAGTAGCTAGCACATATGTTGACAAAAATTTAAATATTTCACTAAATCAAATTATAAAATTACTTGTTATACGAAAGGTTCTTTGCAAGATGAGTCTCTTTTTTTATGCCAATTTTTTTACTAGCGGCAAAACAACACAAAGCATCTCATTTTTTTTTTCTTTTCAAGAGTTTTTGTTGGAGTCATTTTTTTTTTCTTATTTCTTTTATTATTATTTTTTTTTGTTATAAAAAATGAGAAATTGGGCCCTTTATTTCAGTCACTTGGGGGCCCCCCTAGAATTTAAAAGGGGAAGCACTAGCTTCCTGTGCCTTTTCGGTAATCAGGCCCTGGAGTATCCATTAATATCTGAGCGTGTTCTGCAATGAACTGAAAGTCTTGGCAAACGTACTTGCTTTCCACCAAAACTTTGCACTGATTGAGACAAGCAGTGTCAGGAGTAAGGTTTATTTCACTGCTAAAAAATTCTATGTAAACATTACAATATTCAGCATGATATAGCACTGATTTAAACCAGGAATTCCACCGTGTCTTTATTGGTGCTGGACAAAGTTAAGCCTTCTTATTGTCATCTGTTAAAAACTTTAAATAGCGGCGCTTTCTTGCAGGACAATGCTTGAACAATTTCTTAAAGTTTCCTAGGAATTTGTCCACCTCTGTCAGATTCTTGGAAAGATTTGACCACCTGACCAAAAAGATTCTTGGAATTGAAAAAGAAGATAAATTTCTCCTTAAGGGTTTTTTTTTTCGATTAAAATATATCTGGTAAACGAATACATTTTGCTGAAAAATGAAAATTCTACAGATATGCTGCGATTACTCGGAAAATTGTAAATTATGCGGATAATTGTGAATTATGCGGGTTTCCGCATCTTCGCATAATTTATAGGGCCCTAGACATAAGTTGTTAAACTTAATTGGTGTTTTTTCTGATTCAGGATACGTGTAATATCTCCGAAAGTGATCTTATGATAGGGAGTAAAAGTGAACATTTTTCATATCAACTCTAAATCTCCTGCCAAAAGTTTATTTAAATATAATTAGTTAAGGTACAAAATTTGACATATGAAAACCAAGGAGGAAAGACGGTTTATGCCCACAAAAATGATCAACAGTATTGCCATCTGTTGCATTTTGAGGATTAATAAGTTTTGAAAAATTAATAGAGTTAAAAAGTGATTTCCGTCGAAAGTTATTTCACAGTGAAGATGGGCGAGATACTGTGGAAAAACCCTCTCTTTCCATTCGCAAAATAGTTTTTTTTTTTCTTCCTGAATGAGCTTTCATGGATGTATAATCCATTCTTCACCCTGGTTTCTTATGAGTTGACTGATTTAGCATAGTAACCTTTTGTATAAAATAAACTAAAAATGTTTCCAAAGAAGATACTAACTCTTTTGAGCACCTGCCTTCTTCGTGGACTGCGACTGGACATAGTCCATTCATAAAGCTTTCGGTCTAGTTTGCGGGTAAGGGAATCTCCCGTTATGACGTTTTTTCACTATGGGTGGTTGACCGTCTCTAAGCAAAGTTGGCTCTAGGGCAGGGATGGCGAACCAATGGCATGGCACGCGACACAATATTTTGGGCACTTCACCGATCACAATTGTTATTTCACTATGAATTGTTATTGCACAAATGATATTCCACTATGAAGCATACGTAACAATCAAATTAAAATTCACAAAAACAAGCAAAATAATAAACACTTATTAATAAAAAATTAGCAATTAATGCTAAAAAACAGTTAATAACCAAAAAGAAACAAGCTAACTATAAATAACTAGCAAAAAAAATTAACAGTCCTGCTTAAACTAACATCTTACAACCTTTAAAAATTACAGTCATTTGTCATCTAATCTGCAACAACAGAAGTCACACTGATGTTACTTTAAGTAGAATTACGCGTATAACTGCGACATTGCAAGACGTATTTTCTTTTCAATGTTTATAAAGAGTTTTTAGTTGATAGTATTTGGCATTATTATTTTCCCAATAATCACGAAGTCAAAATTATTTGACGGCACGGCTGTGACCTCATTAAACAATTTTTTAGAAAAAATGGCACGTCGGTGTATAAAGGTTCGCCCCCCTCTGTTCTAGGGGATAAAATTCGTCGCATTTACAGGTTAATACTTACAATTGATTTTTACGCCTAAGCTTGAAGAAGTGCACTATCTATTGATACTGTATTTGTAGTGTTTATCGTATAGTGCGTTCTTTCAATTTTACTTTAAACGAAACAAATGAATTCGGAAGACAATAACAAATTTGCTATGAGGCAGGGCTCTAAGCTATTGAAAATGATGGGGGGCTTATAGGTTAAATTCCATTTCTATGCACCTAAAGTAAACTGTCATTGTTGAGCATTATTACTAAGAATAAATTAATAAAATTTGATTTGTTAAATATATTGATTGTGATGAAACTATAATGTAGAACCTTTCTTTTATTGCACATATTTTTTGTAGGAGGAAATACATTTTCAGCTCATTTATTTCACATGTGTGAGAACACTGAATAATCACATACATAAGCATGTAAAAAGAATAACTTTTTTTTAAGAAATAAAAAACTATGTTAAGTACTATTAATAAATACTATGTTAAGAAATAAAAAACATTTAATAATCTTTTACGCTCATACACACACAAATACATACATTCATAAAAACAATTTAAAATTATTTCAATTAAATATTTATATCGCCTTAATGTAAAAATTCGTACTTTTTAAAAGGAGTACAGAAAGAAGTAATTGAAAGAAAATTTAAAAGAATTTTAAATAAAGTAAAACTGAAAATAAAGTTCTTATGTTGTAACTGTTGGAAAAATATCTCAAAATAAGCAGGATACAAACCTAGAACAATAAGAAATTTGAAGGAGCTATTAAGAGTTTACCTTTTAAGTAAAACAAAATAATCCCGTATATATATTTGTAACGCTCGAATCAAAATTATTCTATGCACCATCTCTGTTTAAAATATTTTTCTTCTTACTTTTTTCAAAGCAAATTCATTAACGATATCATCAAATGATAAACGCCCGAGTTAATCAGTTTCAATGCGCATCAAACTAAGGTTTGCCGTCTTGTTTTGGGACATAGTTACTCCAAATTCGTTCTTGATTCTTTTTAGCTGAGAAAATGATGTTTCATCATGACAATTTGTAATCGTCATGCAAAGGAACAGTCTAAAAATTGCTTCCACATTAGGGAAGGCAGATCGGATATGATTCTGAAAAATTATTTTATAGAGCTTTTGATGTGTCAGATTGTTCTTCTTGTCTTTTTCCTGTTCCTGACTTAGTCTGTTTTACATAACAAT